TGTGTGTGTGTGTGTGTGTGTGTGTGTGTGTGTGTGTGTGTGTGTTCACAGAGAAGGAGAGCAGATTGCCCAGAACGGACTGCCATCAGACCAGGACTCTCCACGGGTTAGTTACCGCTCCTGTACCTACCCACAATACACTAGCAGTCAACAGACACCACGAACTACCGGTCAGGGACACTGAGAGTTCCCATAATGCTCTCTGATGATCACACACCTCTGCACCAGCTGACGGGACACAGACGGGTTTGTCAGCTGTTTATTACCGCAGGTTATCAGTGGACTTTATGAAGGCTAATGACAATGTATCTCAATATCTTCAGTGTGTTTTGTGGACATGATGTGCCTTAAAAAAATATATCAACAGATGAATGAGAAATGCTGATGAAATGATCCGGTTCAGTACTAGTTTAAGTCATCAGAAATAAGCAAAAAACCTTAATGCACAATAGAAATATGGAGCAGTTAAAGCACTTATATGAATGCCTCCATACAAAAATTAGTGTTATTTAATGTGTAAAGTGTAAAGTTTAATGTGTATTGTCTTGGTCAGGTGGAACTTCGTTTTTGAGGAGGATTAACTTAGGAACATATACAAGGCAAAAATTTGTGTTCTTCCTCGGTATGATGAAAAGTAAGTGGCTTCATGCTTAAAAACAAGAAAAATGTCTGACATTGGGCTCAGAAAATTCAATATATTTCCTTTTAAATTGCAAGTCACAAAATTTTGGTCAGTTTTTCAGAAGACAAGACTTATATTTTAAAGTCATTTTGCTTTTTAAGTAAATGTCTTTTGATTTGAAGAATGTTTTGATATTTTTACTGTAAAATAAGACAAAAATACTGAGGAAAAACATGATTTTTTTGCAGTGACGTTTTCTCTGTAGAAATGGTGCTTTATGGGTAGCTCTAGACTTCCATTAGAAGTGCATTACTGGACAGTTCGTGTGATGGGAGTCATAATGAACCGAGAGCATTGCTTTAAGACAGTAGTTTAGATATTTAAACTGCTGCAAATGATCTGCCATGTGTTTGATAGTTTGCTTTTGCTTTGGTTTGTGTTTGCGATGTGAGCTTGTGAAACTCAAACCTGTTGTTCTGTGTTGAGAGTCCAGAAAAGCCCAATAGAGTAGGGTTTTTGTGTGTGTGTGTGTGTGTGTGTGTTGGTTTGAGGTGATTTACCATAAAATGATCTGAAAAGATGAATGTTGTCATGTACTTCCAGTATGCGGGCAGACTTTCTTTAGTCGACTAATAAATGAACTGAGTGTGTATGTTGGATATGTGTGTTGTCTGTAACCTCCTGTGACTTCTGTCCGTTTAAATGCATCTCAGCCAGACTTCACTGGCTCCGTATGAGAGTTGTAAGGTGTTTAAGCATAGATTTTAGTAATGCTGGACTAAAGAGGTTGTGTTTGAGTTCCTGAGAGCCGTTTTAGCGGAGCAGGACGTCATCAGACGGGGTTTTGCGGTACAGTAACACATCTGGAGTGATACCTGTGTGCTGTTGCTTTAAGCATGATGTTTTTCAAACTGATTGAGTTCCAGACATCTGCCATGTTTCTGATTGTAGATCCATAGAGTTTCCCATCTCGCATCATCTTTTTACCTTTACAGTCAACATGAAATGCATTTAAAACCTTATTCATTTACATTACATTTAGTCATTAAGCCAATGCTTTTATCCAAAGCGACTTACAAACGAGGACAATAAAAGCAGTCAAAACTAACAAAGGAGCAATGATACGCAAGTGCTATAACAAGTCTCAGTTAGCTTAACGCAGCACACATAGCAAGGGTTTTTAAAATAATATAATAAATAAAAAGAAAACAGATAGAATACAAAAAGATTAGAAAGCAAGTGTTAGGTTTTTTGTTTTTTTAAAGAAAACAAGCAGCAAACGAATAGAGTGCAAGAATAAAAGGGACAAGTGTTTTTTCTTTTTTTAAGAATAGAATTAGAGGATCAAATAAAGATGGAAGAGATGTGTTTTTAGGCTAAGGACTCAGCAATATTTACAATATTATCTGACATTAATAACAATATCCAATAGCCTGCAGGATGTCACATGCAAAAAAGGAATGACTTGCGCTGATAAATTATTAACAATGTGTTTAACATGTTTGAACGTGTTTTGTTGTGTCTTGTTTTTCAGCACAAATATCTAAACCTTCTTAAATGAGGATATATTTACTGAAGTCTTGTTTTCAGAAAAAAATATTATTTTTATCTTAATATATTAAATGTATTCAAATAAGCGTATTGACATATTAAGAAATATGTTTTTTTTTGTTAGTTTAATACTAATCTAAATATATAAAAATATATTTAATAAAATTATTTTTAGTAAAATAATATACTTATGCTAATACATTTTTGAAAATATTTTCTGAACAATTTAGCAAAATTTAGTGACTTTTTTTCCTTAAAACAAGATATATTAATACATATTAATACATTATATGTATTTGTTTTATACTAATCTAAATAATTAAGAATCATTATTATTAATAATAAAATAATAAAATAATAAATTATTTTCAGTAAAATAACACATGGACTAAAGTGTAACCCAGTTTCTACTTATTGGCATTTAGTTTGAACCTTGCTGATAATACTTTCCCTGAACATCTGGAAATAAGCAGGTCTCATCTGGACATAATCATCATGTCAGTTTGAGCGAGTCTTCGGTGTGTGTTTGGCTCTGAAATCAAGATCACATCACATGAATCTGCGTTTTTAAAACAGTTCGTCTGAGAAAATCCCATGGTAGACATCTCCGGGATCACGGCTGAATTTATGCAGGAGCATCTGGATTGGTTTCTTGATGAAAATGCCACACAGATCGTAGAATGTGGACTAAAGTGTAACCCAGTTTCTACTTATTGGCATTTAGTTTGAACCTTGCTGATAATACTTTCCCTGAACATCTGGAAATGAGCAGGTCTCATCTGGACATAATCATCATGTCAGTTTGAGCGAGTCTTCGGTGTGTGTTTGGCTCTGAAATCAAGATCACATCACATGAATCTGCGTTTTTAAAACAGTTCGTCGGAGAAAATCCCATGGTAGACATCTCCGGGATCACGGCTGAATTTATGCAGGAGCATCTGGATTGGTTTCTTGATGAAAATGCCACACAGATCCAGGTGTGCTAATGTGTGTGTGTCTCGTCAGATCCTGGCATAACGTGTACTGCGTCATCAACAACCACGAGATGGGCTTCTACAAAGACAACAAGAGCGCGGCGCAGGGCGTCCCGTACCACTTTTTTTTTCTTAGTGTGAAAAACATTTTAATAATCTATAAAAGAAACATTTGTGACCCTGGACCACAAAACCAGTCATAAGGGTAAATTTTTTGAAATGGAGATTTATGCATCATCTGAAAGCTGAATAAATAAGCTTTCCATTGATGTATGGTTTGTTAGGATATGACAATATTTGGCTGAGATACAACTATTTGAAAATCTGGAATCTGAGGGTGCAAAAAAATCTAAATATTGAGAAAATCATCTTTAAAGTTGTCCAAATGAAGTTCTTAGCAATGCATATTACTAATCAAAAATTAAGTTTTAATATATTTACGGTAGGAAATTTACTAAATATCTTCATGGAACATGATCTTTACTTAATATCCTAATGATTTTTGGCATAAAAGAAAAATCGATAATTTGATGTATTGTTGGCTATTGCTACAGATATACCCCAGCGACTTAAGACTGCTTTTGTGCTCCAGGGTCACATATGTGGAATGGAAAGGTTCTATGAACGTTAAATGTAGAGCCCTTATTTTTAAGAGTGCATGTTTTGCACAGATGTATGTATTTGATAGTTTTTTGACTATGCCTGATGAACTGTGTGGTGTTTGCAGGAGGAGATGAACACATGGATCCAGGCCATTCAGAACGCCGGCAGCGGCTCCTCGTCCTCCGAGAAAACAGAGATCACGCCTAGCAACCAGAGCACGCCGGCCTCCAGCCGCGCTCACACGCTCCCGGCAACCGTCACCCTGACGACCGAATCCAGCCCCGGCAAGCGCGAGAAAGACAAGGAGAAGCGCTTCAGTCTCTTCAGCAAGAAGAAGCAGTAGGCGTCCGAAACGATCGCTCGATCGGCTCATTCCCTCGATTCTTTTACGACTTTCCGTTTGTGTCCGCCCACCTCCTCCAGTGATATCCCAGCATGCAAAGCTCATAAAGACGCCACACTCTGTGCCTGAAAGCCCGCCAATTGGGTCCAAAGTTGTACAAAACGCAAGAGTGTGTCGCGATTCGGGAACGCCAGCGATCGGAACGTTTTTTTTACGCTCTTACGTTTCTATGGTGGTTGATTTTGAATTCCGACTGTTGCTATCGCTCGTTTTTTGTAACTGTGCGCCATTGAGGGGTCTGGATATTTAAAACATTTCCTCAATTTTTATGAGGCTGTCTCGGAGATCCGCCGAGTCTCTCTTCGTTGACAGTGATGCTTCGAAACGATTCCATTGAACCAATACAATTCCACGTCAACGTCAGATTCGCCGTTTAATGACTATAAGCTGATCAACTAATATTAACATTGGCTTGAAGGCATGGTAGACTTGTGTCATGCGATCAAGGTGGCTCGTACCAAACGCTTTCACGAGCTGTAAGAACGTTTGCTATATACAGAGAACTAGTAACCCGAATCATTTGACGTCATGCTTTTTTTTCTTTTTTTCGTTCGTTTAATTGTCATTTCTCTTGGGTTTTATCATAATATATGTTTCAGATAATTCTAGTACAAAAGAGTATAAAAATTAGATGTATTATAAACACTTTAAAGCATCAATGTTAAGTGAACAGTGCAACATTTACTGGTAAAAAGGTAATGTTACTCCAGCTAAAAAAGTACAAAAAGAACAAAAAAAAAAGAAAATATATGAATACGGTTACTTGCTTGTGGGCTATAGCACTGAGCATTCTCTTTTTTCTCTTTGTTTTCTCGTTTGGGCTTCATCCCGCTCTCCTGCTCTTTGATACATAGTGCGCATCCCCTCCGTCACTGTATCTATTGTAATGAGATTTTCATCTACTGCACAATCAAAAGCATCATAATAGGAATGAAATCCTGGCGATGTCGGGCGTCCTGAGCGCTATAGATCCTCCGGCCGACGCTCAGATGTATGAAACTGCACCTGTAGACTTTAACCTCCCTGCCCTGTTAAATATGTGCGATGTCATTAAATGCTTTTAAACATTACACTCGTGTCGTGTCATTCTGTGTCTGTTTACTTAACTTGGGAGACTAGTTGAGATCTGAAATCAGTTCTTTTATTCAGCAAGGATGCATCAAAAGCGACAGTAAAGACATTTATAATGTTACAAAAGATTTCTATTTTAAATAAACGCTGTTCTATAGAACTTTCTATTCATCAAAGAATCCTGAAAAACAAGTTTACACAAAAATATGAAGCGGCACAACTGTTTAATAATCAGAAATCAGCATATTAGAGTGATTTCTGAAAATCATGTGACACTGGAGACTGGGGTAATGATGCTGAAAATTCAGCTTTGCATCACAGGAATAAATTATATTTTAAAATAGATTCAGTGTTGAG